AAATAGTAAAGTCAATTGTTAATCAAACCAGATCGGCAACTGCCTAACCGAATGATATCGTTTACTCTCGGTTACACCTTCTACTAGGTGAGGCGGCTTCATTGAAATCGTGGATCTTCCAGTAAATTATAAATTAAATTTGGGTTCCCCTAGCGATGACGGATGAAAATGAGATATGACCAACTATTTACAACCTACTTAAAATATGTATGTTCAACAAACAGCTGAACCGTCTTTCACTGTCTTTTAGGTATCACCCAACGGAGTTTATCGCCTGTGTGAGCAACAACAAGCTGAACTGATGGAGGCAAATCACAAGTTCCGGGAAAAGTACATGGAAAACGGTCATGTGCCTCTGTTCTCCCGTCTCGACCTCTATTGTCCCCCAGTTTATTTGCCCGATCGAAGCAGCTCATCGCATTCTTCACCCTTTTCCCCCTGTACGGAACCGCTCTTCCCCGATCCATTCGCGTTCCAAAGACCACATCGGTCAGAAAGTTGGCAAGTTGCGGATTATCAGCATCATCGATACACAATGCATGACTTTTCTCTCCTCCCCCCGGTACTCAACGGATCACGAAGTCTTGGACCAGATCTCGAATCAGACGAATATAAAGCCAAAGTACGTCTAGTTTGGACTTCATTTTTATGAGATCAAGAGAGATGGTTTGATACCATTGGTCTGAGAAAAGGTGTTAAGGTGAACTTTTTAAACCCACGTGTTGGTCTTGTATGGACAACCGTGTAGCGTACGCTCTAACAACTAACAGCTTTGATCAGTTTCAATTTTGTCATGCTATCTAATTGCAGGTGCCTATGAGCACATCAAAATTTGTACGTTTTCTTAAGAACCAATTGGGGTTAACTGGACGAACTCTAAGGATCAACAAACGTTCAAATCTGGTAGCTTTTTCGGGTTTCTAATTGTGTACTAATGTTGAATGCATGAGTGTTTGAGATTGGCGCTGTTTCCTATACTAGAACAAGCAAAATACACCAAAGTTGTTTGACCTCGCATGGTAGATTGACAGAAAAACAAAAAGGCCACTTCACAAGCACCGATGATGTCACCTCGGCTGGTGGTTAAACGTATGAAAACTAACTGCCAAGCTTGGCGAACAGAACACCCGAGTTATGGGAACGGATTTTTAATACATTGTCAACAAAATAATAAGTTTGAACTCATTTTCCCAGTTCATCGGTTATTATATAAGTTTGAGGAAGCATTTCCTTAAAAACGATATTAACTACAGGTGAAAGTATTTATATGATGGACAGCTGTCGGTTTCTTGATGGAACTGCTCAGCATTGCTTAATTTTGTAACTCTCATGGGGTTTCAACGGTGAATTACTTATTTGAGTGCGGCAGCGCATAACACTGAGCTAAACCGCAAGTGCCAACAATTTGATCACTGACAATAATGATGATTAACAATAACTGAAAATTCTGCACTGCTTTTTTACTGAATACAATTTTACTGTCAATCTTCAGGTAAGGGCTAGTGGCAGCTCTTCCGGCGCTGCTTGGGTACACATATACCGAAGCGCTAGTTGCTACTAGTGGTGGTAGTGGGATTTTGAACTCGGTATCTCCGGTTCGTTGGGATGCCCACCTGAGTTACTTGAACACGGCTACCGATTCGCTTACAATTTTTTCTGATCCTCAGTGTTTCGGGTGTTGGTTTAAGACTTTGGAGCATGCTTATTCTCCTACTGTTACATTCCTTTTTTAGCGATCGGAAATTAATGGTTAAAGCAGATACTCGCGACACAGAATGTTCACTCCCATGAAAAATTAATTATTCTCTCGGAGTATAATATTATAAATGTCACAGTTGGTTCGTGAACCAGTCAGTTGTGTCTAATGGCAGATCGATGTTTCCTTCGTGCGATTTTAAAGCTTTTATAGACGCAAGGCGTCATAAGCTTGCAGTCACAAATTGTAGGTAACGTTTGTGGAGATGATTCATATTAGTTGCAGACGAATAGCTTGAATTTCTGGTTTCAGTTTTTACTTGTTTTGGTTGTCACTGCATGCACGTTTCTAGCAATGTCGTTCTCTGTACTTTTGTCTTCACCAAACAGTTAGAAAAACAGAAGCGTCAGAAACGTTATGGCGATAGAATTCGTGAAATAGCCATTCGGAGACGTTCATCTTCGAACCGAACTGCCAGACTAGTGCCCATATATGGTGAACACAACGAGAATTTCCGCGACGACACGATGGCCGATAGCAATCACGACTCCATGGACCAGACAAATAGAATGCGCTCAAGGCCAGAGAAGCGCCGGTCTGAAATAAATATTGTCAAGGGACCGTATGAGGGCGAATTTGTGTCTGCTACAACACTACTCTCGTCTCCCAAGCCTGTGAAAGTGAAATCAGAGCCACACAAACTGCCAGAGCTCAAGCAGCGCATCAATCCAGAAGAAGACCGCAGAAAGGCAGCGGAGAAGCGTGAAGCTGTGAGTGGAAACTTGAGTACTGTTATGTTTCGTTTCTTATCTGCGTATCAAGTGATATGCATACAAAAAAGTGTCAACTTTATCAACAAGCTACAAAATATCTGTCAAAACACCTAACATAGCAAAACAATGATTATAACACATCTTTGATATCACGTTTGATTATTGCAACGATTTTATCTCAAACAACCATCGAAATGATGATCAAGTGTGATGTTATCTGGTCTTTTTGGAAGCAGCTCGATCGAGTGGAGGTGTTTTCAGCTCACTANCTTGGTATCGACAAAGTGTAGGAGAAGAATCATTTGGAAAACATGTGACGTGTCTTGGTTTGTCAAATGGTAAATCCCCGTGGCCCATCACCAGCTTCTGACAGCTGCCTGTCGATGCACGATGCACGCATACACGCACATCATTTCTGACCCATTCTTCATGATGATGATGTTCGTGATTAGGTATCCCAGAGTTAGTAGATGATTTTCAACCTGAACCTCTTTTATTCCATACTTCATGAGTGGTTTTCTTAAGCGGTGAAAGTTATTTTCAATATATTTTGTCAAGCATTTATATTGTTATATCGATTGGTCCATTGTGGATTGCATGACCTGAGTTGTTACTGGATGTGTATGTGAGTAATACTTTTGATTTACAACAAGCCGTAAACTTTGGATGGAGACGTGCAACAGAAATATATTCAGAGTATCTACGACAAGAGACTGCTAATCTTGAAATAAGAAAAATAAAATAAAATAAAACAGTTGAACACAACCGAACCCCACAAAAGAGGACCATACAGCTTCAAAGCTTCACCCCCAATCGTGAAACATCACAATCTCCTTTAGGGTATCAAACTTGGATTAGCCTATTCGATTGTTCAGAGGTACCAGGCACTCTTGATGGTCTTCGGTGTGGGTTTCACTCCTCGGGAGATCGTTAATTCCCCACTGACTCCTGACAGGGACACAAAAAGTACACACTGCTGACGAGTCCCGAACAGGACGAAACAGCTGTCCAGTGCTCTTTGTTGGTTATTACAAACATTTCCATCACAATCTCCTATATGGAATCGAGCAGATTTCAGATAAGTCGACAGAAAAGGATGCTATTTTAGCAGTGTAAAGGACTGAAGAATACGGCAGATTGATGAGTTTTTTGTCTGGAGTAGAGTTATCGTAATCCAACGGTACGAAGTGCGGCTAGTCAAGGATCTACATGTTACAGTTTAATATTGATCATGATCATTATGACACGGAAGCTGATTGCTAGTTGCTTTCTGTGCAGAGATCCTGTCTCGTGTATGCGGTTTTTTAATCTGTTTGATTTCTCTCAACAAACGAACCGTTGGTTTGCATGACTTTCTCTCTACGTGTTGGTGTGGGGAAGTTCCAGCAGCCCATTGCGGATGAGGTAAGAGCTGCTGATCAGTGAATGGTTGAAGTACTGCATCAATGCCAACCGAAGTTTCGCTATGCGTACTGAAAGCTCATCCGTCACTCGTCCGTAAGCAGAGATCTAGCTGCTAACTAGGACGATTTGCCCAATTTCTATGTTTCCGCTATTGTTGGTCAACCTAGCTTGATAATATCATTTAAAATCGCAACCGTATCAAATACATGCACGAATATGAGCTACTTTCCATCACCAATTTTAATCTATTATGAAAATATCCTTGTTGCTATTTAATATTCCAAGCATTTCATTCCGTAGATTTTCTTACAGCGTCAGTTCATCTGTTTTCATGTTGCTTTGAGATTTCACACTGAAGTTCTAACAAGGTATCTCAAACAGTTACCTAAACCCAATCGTGCTTTATTCATTCATAAGAAAGCTTCCATAAACCGATTGAATAAAAGCTAAATAAATATGATCATCAAAGCGATGACATTTTTTTCATTATATGTTACAATAATAAAGTTATACAAACTTGAATTGATTCTAAGAGAAAAGGATTCTTCAAGCACCTGGTGTTAGGTTCTCATCGGAACTTTTGTTTTGGTGATGCTTTTTATAATCAGACATTTGTTGCACATTGTCTGGGATTGTTAACCAGGAGTGTAAATCCCAGCTAGATGTGTCACGTGGCATGCCATCTTCTCATGGTTCTCGCTTAAAACCATGACGATCAATTTCTAGCTGTGACCACCAGCTACCACACATATACAAGCACACAGAGGCATGAAGTCAAAGTAAACACTATAGTCAAATGTTGGTAATTTCAAAACATACTCCTTTCAAACCATATGGAAAGCAATTGAGCATCGCGATCATTGCGATTGGGAACAATTGGCATCTCTCGTTATTGTTTAAGTCACTAAGTGCTAGAAATATCTTTTCGTAGAAAATAAGAGAAAATACTGCAACTTTTATTGGCTTTTTAACTAGGTTTGATTTTGACGTATTAGACATTGTCATGTCTGAAGACTTTTCATACGACTTGACCTAATGACTACGTAAAATATTTTTAGATGCTTACGTATGGCAGGCGTTTACGAACAAAACTGATTGACAAGCGGAAGAGACAAGGAGTAATTTTTGACATCCCTACGGACTCGACAAAGGTATGTGATCTCTAGTGCAAAATGTATTGCGTACTCAGCATATTTGCATGAATTCTAAGTTTGCTGTCAATCGCAGTGGTTCTCTACGGATAAATGCACAAATTCTTATCGAAAGTTGCATATTTTCATCACACTTCAATTTTTATGTAGCTCCAACAACCTTTGGTGAAACAGATTGTATCAAAACGGGACAACTGCAACCTAGAATATACATAGATGGGCAAACGTTTTGGTACATGCCAACAAGTAGAATGTAACCTTTTAGTTTTACTCTAGGATATATAGTTAATGGCATATGTCAGGATTTCAGTTTTATCGGGGTCGCATGAACCCCGGGTGTGGTAGACAAATTAGCGTGCACGGAATCTGTCTCTGTTCGATGGCTGTGCCCGTTTGTGTGTATACGATGCCCGCGGTAGCGATGAGATGTTCAAAGAGCAGCTTGTAATGAATCCCAGAGTTTTCAGAAACTTATTGTTTTTGATATCGGAACACTTTTGAAAACAAACTGCTTGAAACATTCATGAGGTTGATCAGGAATTACTTTTTAACAGAAACGATACAATGCAAACTGGACATCTACTAAAAGCTGAAGTTCCCCTTACCCAAAGAATAGTTTATTAGTGAGGTGCAAAAACAATTAATTGAATCTTATTTCAAAAAAAATTTTAAAGCCCACCGATCTCTTCTCTTATTCGGGTAGTTAAAGACTGTGTGCTTTTGTTGACAACGCATATCACATAATTGCTTTAAACAAGGAACTCACATGCGTCTTCCGTAAATGGTGTTGAATTTTGTTTTAAACTGAAATTGTAAGTGTTTCATAATTGTAATTTGTGGTATTGCCAGTTTCCTACAGGAAGCTCGACTTGGGTCATTCATTTCCGGTCCCTGTAAACTGTGCCCCATTAAACGATAATTTGGTGAGATATGGTGCTTCAGTTTGTACAGCTGACTACAAAATTTTCGGGTTGACTATACTTTTCAATAATGGTCATCTTCACTTTGGTGTCTTTTCGAGATAATGTATTCCTTCTTCAGGAAATTGTATTGAAGGGGGATGTGGAAATTTGGAAATAAGTACTGAACGGAAGTTTGTTTGTCAAACCGTCGTGAATATTCAGTTATTTGCGCTGTTTAGACAAGCAACAATATATATTATATTTTATTTTCGCACACGTCTGAATCCAGATTGTGTACCAAACAAATCATGGTATAATAATCTTTATGAAGAAGAACGACGTTTTATGACTTATATTAAACGCTATGGAGAACGTATGCAGTTAGCTGCCTCAATTCACAGGATTAAAATGGCGGATTCCCCGTACGTTAATGGTAGATCCTCACGAATCTCCGGTTCACAATTTCCCCCATTCAACATATAAAAGTTTACAAAAAAAATAAAGCAATAATCAATCAAATAACCGTCGTAATGTTGTTCTTTAACGACCCTCATAGAAGAATCCGAACCGAATGCTCTCTGCAGTGAGTGGGAATGCGAAACCAATCATGATAATCACACTTCGGAAATGCGCTCTCTTCGGCTTCACAACAATTTGATGTGGCTGTCTATACTCACTCTTATTTTCACTTCACAGAAATCGATTATCAGGGATTGAACAAATGATTAAAATGATGACTGGTTACATAAATGCCATGGGTATTCGAAGTTATCGGGTTTGCCATCAAAAGAGGCAAAATTTAACAATTATGATATTCTGAGATAAAATATTTCTCCTGTTTCTTTCAACTCGTCCTACCAAAATGCATTATGAATTTCTTTCATTGTACTGCTACGAAGCACTCTCGACTATAATGTGTGAACTGGAATAGTTGAAATGTTTAAGTGCTAACCTCTGTTCAGTTTCTAAAACTTTGTCAGAGGCCCCGAAGTATCGTGTGATTTGGATTGATTAAACCGTTCCTGCCTCATAGCAGCTTGAACCAAACGTGGTATTTTTTCATTTCCTTTGTTTGATTGAAACCCCACGCATCAGGCCTGCAACGTGGAAGATACAAAATAAAGATTATTTGACAGCATTTGTGCAGTTTTCATAACCGAATATTATGAATACATTTCTTTATTGAGAATGGATAGGGTATACCTTTTCACCAAAAAAAGCCGGGGTCAAACCAGGAGACATTAATATTCGGTTAGTTGCTTTTTTAGAGAATTCATTGAACCCGAATAAAAATCTACAATGAACAGTTACTGAACAAACAATTTCTAGTGTGCTTAGAAGGGTATTTATTGCATAATCAAGCTCATCGCATCATCAAGTGACAAAGTGATTTGCCAATCAACTGAAGGGAATTAAGTGCATTTTTTCGTTTTGGATAATTGACTTTTTGATGTAAACGGAGGATTTTCTCCGCTATATATCGAAAAAGTCTTCTCTATCAGATGGTTTAAGGCTTTTCTTCAAGGATAGAATGGATTTTCTAACGGGGTTTCGGATCAGTGTTGTTGATACTGATTGAGTATTTGATTCGATCATGCAGTGAATTTTGTTGTGTAAGCAGCAAATGAAACGCCAAGTGAAAAGCTTGGGACTAAGGGCTGTTGCTGAGATGAGCGATACGTGATGCCTGCAGAATGCTAATATGATTTGTCCTGTATCGTGTATAAGGAAAATGAAAAACTATCTGATCAACTGCCCGGTGGTTGAGTGGGTAATATGCTCGCGTTCTACCTGTGAGGTCCCGGGTTTGATCCTAGCTGGGTTAATGAATTAGTACTGCTGATGATACCAAACCATACCAGTTTGGTTAAAAGTGAGCTATTGGATTTCTCTGCATCGGCATCAATACCGGAGGTGAATTTGTGTATTGCTTTTGGTCTAGTTAAAGGACCCGTGTTTCAACTGTATTCACCACACACTTTATAGTTCAATATAGAATTACTTCACAAAAAGGCGCCAAATTTGCTCATCAAATTTCAATGCGGTATTTTTTTAACCTACTGAAGCCTTTCTACAGGGAAAATTTGAGAACGGTATTAAGGGCTTGTTCTTAGCGGAATGATGACAGATTGATGTGAATGGTTATTGTGATACCGCCACATCATGGTGGATGCGAATTAGTCCTCCGTTCATCAGTGACGTTCAATGCTGTTGAGTTGTGACGAATTTTTTTAATACTTTTGTCGCTGTAGGTAATCCACGTCACAATGTCGTCTAAATCAAGTTGAATGAGTCAGGTTACGCACACAAGCGCGTGTTTCTACTAGTAATTGATGTCATACGAACCATGGATTCACATTTCAGACCGATAGATAAGGAGCTGGTTGATGTCATACATTCCATCATTTTGTTTTTCATCATTATTCTGCAACTGATCACTGTCGGAGTACTCCCAGTTTCGCCAGAAACTATCTTCCAAATTATCGTCACCAGTAAACCTTGATATCGAAAGGGTTTCAGTACATTGATATATTTCTGGGTAATATGTTCAGCTCAACAAAGACTATGTCTGTGTTCAACTTGTTGGTCCGTCAAGCCTCATTGAACGTTGACTGGTTTTCATTGCTTTTATCTGTTCCAAGAAATGAAATTAATTTGCATACACCATTTCTTATCTGTAGTGATTGAGGGTTTTGTGAGCTCTTTTTACATGTTTCCAACTGTTTGCTTACTTGTGTGAACATCCGTGAAATCAATTTCCGATTATTCAGATACATGCAAGTCGCAAACTCCGAAATATTGTTTAGTTTTTGTTCAGTTCTGGAATCATTTTCCACTTTTCAAGTGCTCCATTTTTTCTTTTCACTCTTACTGTCACATTTAATCTTCTAAACGACATTAATGCCGATGAATTTGTTGGACATTATGTTGCATTCATCCTTGAAAGGGTTGATTTTACGTTCGAATTTTCTAGACTGTACCTAATTCATCGGCAAACTTGTTCGAGGAATTTTCGATCAACGTTTTTCTTCTCCTTAATAAGGGCCCTATGTTTCAAATATATGATTGACCGTTTCATCCCTATGACCAAATTAACATCATAGTACTCCCTAAACGTTACTTTGATTTGCACACATAATGATCTCACCCCGCTAGAGTTTATTTATTCAATAAGCTCAATTTCCTCGCATCCCTAGTCCATTGAGGGTCTGCATTCTCTCCTCGATGCTACTTTCAACTTTCTTGTCTTTTTCCTACTACTTCATCCAAATGGGTAGCCAAAAAGCAGCAACCAAACCGGACTTACGACAAGGCACGGTTGCTGTTTGCACAAACTGAACTGAACTTATTGATTCCAAGCATGTTTATCATGTGGTAGCTAGTTGTCTTCCTTTGGTCTCAACAGGTTCCACCTCAATTGAAAGAACCCCAATAAAACTTGCTAAAAACCAACAAGTATTTTTATTTTCGCTTCAGCATAAAATCTGGCTCCAGTTGTCCAACTTGGTAAAATAAGCATCTTGATCTTTATGTCTTTAGTTGCGACAGACCATTCCCAAGTCGGAATCTGTTAATTACTTTGGAGTAACCCCAACCCATAATATTTACTGGTCTACACATGTTGATAGAATCTTCACAGAAGTGCAAGGACTGATTTTACTAAATACAAGCTCATGAAAATAACTGTTCTCTGAGGAGTGTGCCTAAATTTGCCAGTATTTTCCGTTTTCTTCACTACTTATATCGATCCCTGTTGTTTCCTAGCTTGCTGTGATTCCCGAACTGCGAGAGTTCACTGTACAATTGGTTTTCCAATCGGATAAGGATTATTTTTATTTCATAATGCAAATTAGGCGTGAACTGAAAAGCTAGGAGGCGCTGTGCAGCTGTTTCGGGTCTCATTGCACTGCGAATGAGACCTAACCAAGTCGGAGCAGCTGTCCAGTGGTGCTTCCTAGTTCTTCATTTCACGCTCAATTTGCACTATACATGACGAGTTTTCTCTTTGAAATTGAATCAAATCCTCTAATGCTCTCAATTTTGGTATTGCTAATATAGCATTCTTTTTATTTGACCATTTGACTATTCTCATCGCGACATTATGGAAAGACTGAAGTGAACAAAAGTCGTTTTCTGTAACTTCTTCCTCGGGATAATACAGTTATACATAGGGTGCAAAATAGTTGAATTATGTGATTTGATACGATATAGTTGATTGTGATCATGAGGTAAGTGATTTGGAAATGAGAAGATTGGGTTTTTGGTGTTTTCTTGGGGTTTGGAAATGCACACAGTTGATAGACTGAGTGAGCCGTTCCATTTCTGGTCTGTACCCGTGGGTTATGCCAAAGGTCACGATCCTTTCGGTTTGCTGTCTCAGGTTGAGGCCAGCGTAGGCGAAATGACGGAGGAGAATGGAATGAGTAGACCAATGGCCACCACCTCCGCTGTGGTAAGGTGCCGTTTACGAACAGCTTTTCTGACACCTTGTAGATCACTTTGAATACGCCCTTTTTTGGTTGACGGCCCGAGTCAGCAAGGTGTTCTACCACTGCACGTGCAATCTTTTACCTTATGCCCCTTCTCAACTGTGTCGGCTTGTCCTCCTTGATTTTCTGCGATGATTGCCGAACATAAGCAAAGAAAGAGTTAAATGAGGACAGATGAGAAGAGGATAGGTCAAGTATCATATTCATCAAATAAGACCACTATATTAGTTTGATATTTTCAAAACCTACACATATAATTGTTTTAGCCCGAGGAAGAAGTTATCAAAAACAAGCTTTCTTTGATACAGTTTTCTTTAATATTGTTGCTTTTTATTTTTATTGTTGTTGGCAATGACTCTGACGTAAGGACAAGTAAAGACAAAACATAAAATTCACTAATATTTGATTTCGGTTTTCAGAAATACGATGACCAAAATTCTTACACAAACGGTACGGATGAAGAATTTTACAATACACGAGTGGATCAGCTTCTCAAGCGTCACGAAGAAGACCGTAAACTTGCCCAATCCATTCAGCGTACACTCAAGATTGAGCAATGATAAAGTCAAATGAGAGTGCACATTGATAGTGGTTGGCAGATGTTTCGTTTCCCCAGACTAGCAACCATGAATTTATCTCTCGAATATCCTGGGCATGATTCATCTTGGTCAAAACTGGTATTTCATGTTGGCTTGAGCACCAATCTTACAGATGGAGTTGTTCTGCATATCATCTACGGATATCAACTTTGCCAATTTCTTCCAAGTTCTCGAGGATTTGTCACTGAGACATACCGCCATTATGATTCAGATGCAATTCGTTTTTTTATTGGTTTCATAGTGCTTACTGAATGTTAAATCCTGAAGGACGTTGGCCAAGGAAGCACTAATAAACTCTTAAAAGTGACGTGTGATGGCGGGGGTGGTTCGACTCCAGCAGCGGTTTCTTCCCATATAAACTAAACAGAGCAATAAGCCTTTTCACTTTTTTTGGGAGCTCGGAAGCACTTCATTTTTATTTTTAATTGCTTGACTGCAATCAGCAGGGTGAATCCATTGGCCCTTTAGTTTAGCACCTAAGACGGGCTGAGCGACGAGGCGTTCAATTCTGTCGATTAAGCTCATCGCAAGGCTTCCCAAGGATTAGACTAGATTAAGAACTTTAACACCTAGAACGGGCTGAGCGACGAGACGTTCACCAATTCTGTCGATCGAGCATACCATGAGGTTTCCAAAGGAGAGAACGGATCGAAAACAAAGCTGGGTACGAGCATTTTTAGTGTAATGTGACCTACAGCGGAAACATGTACAGAAAGCCAAGCGAACGATACAACTCACCGGAAATTGTACCACATTCGAGGTCATATGCGACCTCGTAATAGAGGGCAATAAAACAAAAGAGTTTGTAGATGAATCAAGGTAATGTTGTCGAAGAGTTAAAAATCGTGCTACTACCCAGTTCCCCACTTAGAAGGTTGGCGAGAAGCACTAAACGTTCGAATAGTCGAATATATGCGATCTATGTGGGAAGATGATGCGGATAGATTGGGATAAAGGAAAGGTCCAAAGACAACGACTGTCTGTTGCCGGTAATTGGAGCAGATTGTCCACATGAAGGTGTGTAGGTAAATGCTGTGCAAATGGTGATAGAGAAGAAAAAGTGCTCTGTTAACAATCGTGAAGAAGTATCTTCGTCAGTAATGAAGAGAGAAGTGTTGAGTTCTTCCGTACGTGAGCCCAAGAGAATGTATAATGGAAGACTGCAGGACACAAAGTGGTTCACTCGTAGCCCCGTTTGGTTCACCGACACAATGGTTTATCTTCTCATGGGTGCACCCACCCCGCACATGTGCGGTACCGTCCACGCGCGTTGCCTGGTCAATAAAAAACTGGCCGGGTAGACCAAAAAAGACCTGGCCGGCCAAAACCCGATAGGTATCTGATGGCGGTGTGGAAGGGGGCTCTTTTCCCTACACACCCCACTCCTCGCGCCCGTGATCCCCGACTCGGTAAAGACGTTGGTTCTAGGAGATTCGCTCTTCTGATGAGCACATTCGTGGACGGGGTCCTAGAAGAGAACGGAAGATGACTAACCTAACAGCGCAAATGGCTGATGGTAGAAGGGATGAGTGGGGTGGANGGAGAAGAGTATACGTCAACCACTTCGCACTTGAGTGACGCGTAGCCGAACCGATACGAATCCCGAAGGAAAAACACAATTGATCCGTAAGGTTCTACGGTACTGAATTAACAAAATCATTACAAATGTACAATAAAGCAAATCTCAAATATGCGGCCGAGAGCACTCAAACAAGCGAGCCAAATAAGATGTCCAGAGAGAGGCAAATAGTCGCTCCCGTTCTCACATCACGCCAAATTCAAATTTGCCGGGCATCGAATTACCAGATAAATAATGATGTATAGTGTTTGTGATCGAGAAATGTCAGTATAGTAGCAACACACGGATAAAGTTACTTCATCATAAATCATTATGGGTTCGGAAGGATTTTCAAAAAATTCAGCAGGAAATGCAGAGTCTGCGACAAGTTGAAAATTTAACGTGCTCTTCTTTCGAAAATGTTAGACTTTTGGTTGTGTTAAATCAATTGGTTTGTGCATCTTTACGCAATTTTTTTATCACTTTTTTAAAGAGAACGTAACAGTCTAAGTTTCTGGTATTTGGAAGGAGCCGTTTCAAAACTTAACTCCAGTGGGTACCCAGGTTCACGAGAACTCTCTCATCCTAATTCTCTTGAAATTTCTGGTGAAAAGTTGCTAAAGTGCAAGTTCACCAACTGTCTGAGCCTTAGCAGTAAGGTACTTGAACTCAGCCAGAGGATTAAAGATGTCCAGCTACAAATCCTAGCGCTAACGGAGACATGGCTAACTGCAGGTATCTTGGACGGGGGAGTCAAAATAGATCGCTATACACTTTTGTGAAGCGACTCAAACCGAGGCCGCGCCGGTGGTGTAGCTATCTACTTGAGCCAGTCCCTTCCTCCAGTTGTCTTAGTCCCCTAAGATCCTATCCCATGATAGACACTCTGTGGGCAAACTATCTCTCGCCAACAGAGACTCCGTGTTACTAGGTGTCATCAATCG